TTGGTTATGTTGGTTACGAGTTGGTTATGAGTTGGTTATGTTGGTTACGAGCTGGTTATGTTGGTTACAAGTTGGTTATGAGTTGGTTATGAGTTTGTTAAGTTGGTTAAGTTGGTTGTGAGTTGGTTATGTTGGTTACATGGGTTTTGGTTGAGTAGCCCGTTGACACACTTCGGTCTAATTATAACACCAGAGACGCTGACTTCCTGTTTGTGCAGTAATTTGATGTGACACCTGCTGAAGGATCAATCCATTTGTCAGTTTGTCTTTAAACGTCTTCATTTGTTCAACCAACGGTCAGAAACAACCAGAACATTCAGGTCATGATGCAAACTGTCGCTACGTTCAAAAGTTTTGCTTAAAAAACTGCAGAAGCTAAATTTTAACAGATACTTTTCTGTCAGCTAACTTATCGGTTAATAAATGAATCAGCTCGCAGATTAGCGCTGCAGATGTTAGCTAACAACAACCAAACTAGCACTGGAAAGGAACATTAACTGACCTGATTTACCAGCTAATCAGATACGTAGCTAACGTAGCATTAGCAGGCTAACCCAACGACTACAGGTAGATGTGGGATGTTAGCTTGAGTAGCTGATTATCGTAGCAGTTGTAGATTATTTTTCTGTTGATCAGTTAATTGATTGCAATTTAAATAACAGGTTTAAGCTACAGGTGCTCCAGAGGCGGCTAACAGCTAGCATAGCGCTAGCAGCAATGAATGACTGATAACACAACAACAGCAACTGGAACACGAAGCAACAACAACTACTGGCAAACCAACTGGCTAATGAGGTACACTGCTAACATAGCATTAGTGAGCTAAGCTAGCACCAGAGAAGCTGGAATTAGGTAAAGCTTGTCTGACAAATCTGTTAAACGAGTAATGGATTGTTTTTCTGATCAGCTGATTGATCAGAATGATGGATCAGTCTGTTAATTCTTCTGTCTTTGCAAAATGAACGTTCTGGGGTTTCCGACCAGAAACAGAACCATGATGGAGTTTTTTAGTGAACAATAAACCGAGAAATGAAGGAAATGAGCAGCTATCAGCGAGAATCTGTGTCAAACTTGGCAAACGAAAAATAGAATGTAAAATATTTGCAGAGGTTTGGTGACATCAGA